ATGAATTGAAGGTTGAAAACTAATGATGAATTGAAGGTTGAAAACTAATGATGAATTGAAGGTTGAAAACTAATGATGAATTGAAGGTTGAAAACTAATGATGAATTGAAGGTTGAAAACTAATGATGAATTGAAGGTTGAAAACTAATGATGAATTGAAGGTTGAAAACTAATGATATATCTAGTTGGTATTCAGCGGCTTTGGATGAATATCTATCCTTGCATCCAGATCTAGAATTATGGGAGCTGGCGGACCCAGAGCGCCTGGTAATAGTTTCACATTCAAAATTTAATTTTAACAATAATACAGAGAGAACCAGAAAACTGTGGAACAATCGTCGTTTCTGTTTTTTTCTTTTACCTAAGAAATATTGTTCAATTGTTGCACCAGAGCTGAAAACTTAATACCGATCACTAAATCTGAGTATCCAATGGACTCACATGTGATTTTCTTCTTAAACCGTTCTTTCTTGGATAAAGTGGAGAAAAATCAAAAACCGGTTTTTCTAAATTAGAGAGTTCCTCCCGTTTCTGTATATAATCTTAAATGGCGTGCAAAATTTCAAATTTATCGGCTTCATATACGCGACTCTGATTGGTTAATGGTTGAATTTTCAGGATACAAGTACAAGATTAGGTTAGGTTCGATATTAAGAAAAAGAGAGGATCAAGCATTAATCTCGATATCCACCATTCTAAAGTTTTCAGCTCTGAATATCTCTAGAAATTTTCAAGACAGTTTTTAGAAATATTCAAATTATAAAATCTCAAAATATAAACAAAGACGACGAGAATTTATTATTTTTCTGAATGGTGCATTTTTCGACCTACGCATATCCGGTATACTCAACTTTTGACCTACGCCACATCCGCTATACCAGCACGTGGTTTTACAGCTGTAGGACATCTGCTATACTAGCACGTGGTTTTACATCTGAAGGACATCCGCTATATTGCAGTGATAACCAGAAAACTCTGGAATAGAAAAACGACTTTTAAACTCAAATTATGACTTTAGTTAGTCCAATAAGCACGGGAAACAGAAGTTGGTCCGTTTAAAAAGACCCAATTTGATTTGTGATTTAATAAGTGTCTAGGAAAACTATTTGCTTTCTAACAACATAAAAACACAAAAGTATTGATACAAAGTCGTCTTCCTATTTCAGAGTTTTCCGGTTATGACTGTAGCACGTGGTTTTACAGCCGTAGGTTGGACATGTGGCCGCAGCACCCGGCCCCCTAGCTTGTCCTAGCCGCGGCGCTCGGCCCCCTAGCCTGTCCTAGCCGCTGCTCGGCCTAGAAAATGTATTTTCTGTCCTAACCCTGAAATAATAGAAATCAAAACAGCCGTCGTAGATTTGATACTGCAGTGGGTCGGAAAGTTAGTAGGTCAGAAGTTCAGTAGAGGGGATATTGCGTATAGACGATGGAACTTTACTGTTTTCTGGTTTCTACTGTAATTCACCGCCTCGCATATTTTCATAAATTTAGTTAATTTACATTGGGTTAAAACAAGTAGACATGTAGTAAATTATTTGTTAATTAACAATCGTTAAATTATATTTTGTTTTGAATTTATTAAACAAACTATTTTCCCAGACTTTTTACTTTTTCAATTTACTTTCAAAAAAAATTTCGGTGCCAAAAGTGCAACCTCCTAGGCTTAACCTCCACTAAGTTTAAAAGGGTACTGCTGTTGTGAATCGGACTTGTCGCTTTTGAAAAGAAGAGTCACATAAAATTACATCTGCAGTCCCTTTAGGCGTATTCTAACCTGCCTAACAATAACATGATCCCATCCTATTATTTGATGTCATTTTTTGCTGAATTTCAGTTTTAGTTTGAGTGATCATAACATCATTAGTATGAGTTATCATAACATCATTAGGTAGAGAGTGGTTACTAGCTATTTAGGTTGTTTGGCATGTAAATTATATATTTCTAGAAAGGAGCCAATACGAGCTCCTAAACTAATTAGCGCCATTTAGGCTGAACCTCCACTACGCGCCTGCAATGTAAGCGTAATTTTAAGAGAACCTCTATTTAATAAGTGGCATATTCTATTAGCAACGCACTGAGATTTTGCCAGGCTACATTTGAAGCATAAAACGTGCTGTACAGTACGACTGAATGTATGTACAGTACATGTTGTACCGGCACGGACCATGCAAGTTTTAGACTGGGGCGACCGGTACCTAATAAAGTGTTCTCTGATTTAGAATGAATTAGATATCCTAATTTGTCTGGCTGATAATTGATTATTTTCAATTGTGATATTCTCTTTATTTTAAAAGTGATTTGGGTATTTCTCAGAAGAATCAATTGAGGGAATTGTCAGAATTAAGCTAGAATAAACGACGATGTTTTCCACATTATATTGTTCCAAAAAAAGTTTAAAAGGGTACTGCTGTTGTGAATCGGACTAGTCGCTTTTGAAAAGAAGAGTCACATAAAATTACGTCTGCAGTCCCTTTAGGCGTATTCTAACCTGCCTAACAATAACATGATCCCATCCTATTTTTTGATTTTTTGATGAATTTCAGTTTATTTTGAGTGATCATAACATCATTAGGAAGAGAGTGGTTACTAGCTATATAGGTTGTTTTGCATGTAAATTATATATTTCTAGAAAGGAGCCAATACGAGCTCCTAAACTAATAAAACAGGGTGAGTAAATAAAACTTTTCACATCGTGGAGCCAAACTTTAGAACTTTGTTCATATATGACCCTCACTGTAATATACAGTATACAGTACTGCCAAGGTACTAATGATGAAAGGAAAGATAATTGCAGTTGCGTATACTCTGCGTACATATTGAAACCAGTTCTCTCTGGACGGAATTTGTAAACAAGAATAGATGCATCAATGTTCGTTTAGTTTCCGAGGAGATTAAAAGCATTAAATTTTGATAATTTTTATAAATCACAAAACAGTTTCCTATGACCAGAATATTTCATTGATTATTTATGTAAAAGATGGATCCCATGTCAGGCTTCGACATCCGACTTGTGTTTACATCACCGCCCAGAGACAGTACACTGCAGTACAAAAGATGCGTACACCTCTGAAATAACTTTTCTTGCATTGTAACCTTAAATAAACCAAGCATAATTATACTATAGCATTAATACGTAAAGAAAAGGAGTCTTTGCCACAAACTCTGATTTTCTAATGACTTTATCTTTACACGCAATCCAATATCATAAAGCTTAGATATTTCATACTCAAATATCATAGGTGTACGTACACCGTCAGGTTTTACAGATATAGGAATGATAAATTCAAGTTTGGGGCAAAGACTAAATTCCTTAAAAAACAGTGCGTGGTCCAAAATTAGATGAAAAACATTAATATCTTTAACAGATGTTTAACATTTATTCCATCAGGTAGCAGAAGATTGACCGCAAACTATTCCATCAGGTAGCAGTAGATTGACTCCAAACTATTCCATCAGGTAGCAGATTGACCCCAAACTATTCCATCAGGTAGCAGTAGATTGACCCCAAACTATTCCATTAGGTAGCAGATTGACCCCAAACTATTCCATCAGGTAGCAGTAGATTGACCCCAAACTATTCCATCAGGTAGCAGTAGATTGACTCCAAACTATTCCATCAGGTAGCAGATTGACCCCAAACTATTCCATCAGGTAGCAGTAGATTGACCCCAAACTATTCCATTAGGTAGCAGATTGACCCCAAACTATTCCATCAGGTAGCAGTAGATTGACCCCAAACTATTCCATTAGGTAGCAGATTGACCCCAAACTATTCCATCAGGTAGCAATAGATTGACCCCAAACTATTCCATCAGGTAGCAGATTGACCCCAAACTATTTTAGGATAAAGAGAAACTGCCCTGGTACAAGGATAGTCTGGCAACCCTCCCTCCATCATAGATGTACATCATCTGTGCACATTATCTGCACATTATCTGCACATTATCTGCACATAGTTCAAAACGATATTTACACTTATTTGAGACTTGGCCTACTTTTAAGTGTTGCAAAGCCTTTGGACTTGATTTTACCTAAAAATTTGCTCTACTTCTTTATCTAGCACTTCAGGCACTGTGATAACAGTGTTTAAATCCCTTTATTTTTGCAACTCACTATTTCGTAAACGTTTGATATTTCAAATTATGAGTTCTGTCAGATAAAATAATCTAAATTTGAAATATGAAAGGTTCAANATGCAATTTTGTATTTTGTATTAAACAGATCACATTCAACAAATTCGTAACGACGATAACCCACAGGAAAACGACGATATCCCACAGGAGCCTGAGAATCTCAGGTTTGCTCCTATTATAATTTTTTTATTTTGCATTTTTTATAGATATAATTGATAATATAATGACGTATAGTCCGTATTTACGTCACCAGAACTTCAACCAATGGCAGTGCAGTATACTGGTTACGTGATTTCTGCTGTATCACATGACAACATTATATTTAATCCACTTTAAAGCGAGGATTCGAGAAAAACGAAAAGGGGTAAGGGAAACCCCGTTGAGGACAATTTATATCAAAATCTATTTTTTTAGTAGATAAGATTTTATCCTATACCTACTTTCATTTTTCGAAAATACTTTGTAAAAATTTGACATATTCAACAAATCTATGACTAGATTTTATTTTTTCATTTGTGGGTTTTATAGTTCAAATTTCTATAAATGTATAAATGAGAAATGCCATCATTACGTTATTTATTTTAAAATATTATGTACATGAGTTATTTTATTGCGAAGTGCCTATTTTATTACAAAACTTTTACGAACAATGTACGATGTAAAAAATTGATTAATATTCAAAAAAAGCATCAGAGAAAGTTACTTTTTCTTCAAACATAAAGCTGACATGCTCTTTTGCTTAATAACTTCAAAGAATAATACAAGATATCCAAATCATGATGTTTTAAATCCATCAAATATTTTATCTAAACATATTTTTCTATTTTTCCTTATTGTTTGTAACTGTGACCAAAAATTCCTGAATTTCAGGACTTGAGTAGTCGATGAATTATAAGCATGGCTGCAATATAAAAATCCTATTCTCAATATGGTTTCCATGGTTCCTTTCTAATTACAGATGATTTACTTGTAGAGGAACCCGCAGATGAGCTGCTAGTAATGCTACTGGATTCAGAGGAACGCCTGAAATATTTAGAATATCTCATCAAATTGAAAAGTAAGGAATTAAGTTTTGGCCACAAACTCTGATTTTTAATCCCTATATCTTTGCATTCCTGATGCTATTTCCTTAGATATTTCGAATATAGAATTCTGTTAGATTAACTACTCTAAGTTTGAAATATCATAGGTTTGTTGCAACGATATAGGGATTAGAAAATTTTAATTTTTGGCAAAAACTCAATTCCTTTTAGCAAAAAAGCTTGCACACAAATAAATTGTTTTTAGACCTCATCGCCAGTATTTAGTAACGTTATGATGTTATATAGATGCAAACCTATTGGTAGAGATTATTCTTACTCAGCCTTTATTCATCTGTGCTAATTACAATGGTTTATATATGCGTCTGTGTCTCAATCTGTTAAGTTACAGTGTACCAAAAAAATATGTCCAAAAAAATATTGAAAAAAGAGCAGTGTGGAGAGTTGCACAAAAAAGTAAAATTTTGCACCAGACGCCGCTAATCACACTTTATTTGACTCATCCTGTATATATAGAAGTCATCTATGTGTGGGTGTCAGTATGTTTGTATATTTGGATGTCTGGTCATAATTCCAGAACCCTTGACCAATTTGCCTCAAATTTGTAATGGGGAACTCGGGAGAAAGAACCACGTGAATGTTCTTAGCTTGGTTTTGAGATTCTACGTTGAGTGGGTCTCCTTTTTATAGTCATAAAACTCAGACTACCATGGTAGTCTGAGTTTTATGACTGCTTTATCTTATTAATATAGTTTTAATATAGAATAGTTCTTTTAATTTCAAACTTTATTCTATACTAGCTTGAAAACCCAGCGTTGCCAAGGGTACTCATAGTTACTCCCGCCGTTTACCCGCGATTGGTCGTAAATTACGATTTTATCTATTTTTCCCTATAAAAAGGAGACCCACTTTCTCAAAACTTTTCTAAATGATTGATGTGTGATGAGTTAGAGTCTGTGTGAATATTGTGTACATGTTTGTGAAGATATAAATAAAGGTTAACTCATTTTTATTAGAAGACAATAAAACATCGAAACTGTAAAATATCTTAAGACTTTTTTAAATCATGGGGATTCAATATACATAGATACCAATATATAGTTTACCTGCAGAGCACATGTCCATCTGAGGTTCTAATCATCTTGTTGATAACAGTTTCCCAGTTTCTTGTTAGCTTTCGCATCCCAGCACTGCTCAGATGAATACTGTCCGAATAGTATTTACTGTTGGGTTGACCTTCCTCAGTGGCGAGGTTGTCATTAGTGCAAAGAGTGACATTATCAAACTCTCGAATATTTGCTTTCAGACAAGAATTGAAGGCATTTCTTAGTCTTTCATGAAATTGGAGACAATCTCCTGGTGTTGTTGGTGTACTTCTAGGAATAGGAAGAGATATAACAAAACTTGTATCCCTGAAAGATCTGCACGCAGTAATGATATGCTTGGAATAAACTGTAGCAATACTTCCCGCCATCCCTGAAAAGTATTAGATTAAATGTTTAGCTGTCTGGGTTGATATTTAGTAGAATATTCGGAAGAATAATGAAGGATAATGAAATAGAATATAAGGAAAATAGAGATATAATTGACGCGCCCCGCCCTACCATATGATGTACAATCACCGCGTATACAATAACCTATTCTGAATATTTCTTATACAAATAATATACCGTCTGCAAAGCATGTATAATCATATGGTAGGGCGGGCCGCGTCAGTTGTATCTCCCTTCTAATTCATACTCCTTGGAAGAATACCACTTGATTGAAATTCAAGAGTTTATCAAAAACCTGTGTACATTGTGTACATAAGCAGTCGCAGACACTTGTTATTACAATTAAGTACTGCTAAAGCGTACTGCATTGTTATGCATTAAAATGGAAATAAACAATATAAGGAGAAAGAGAAACAAGAAAAAAGAGTGGGAAAGAAGGTGAAGAAGGTGAAAGAAGGAGAAAAAGAAAAGAAGAGAGAAAGCAGGAGAAAAAAGGAGAAAGAAAGAGGAAGAAGGAGAAAGAAAGAGAAAGGAGGAAAAATAAAGAGAAAGAAGGAGAAAGAAAGAGGAAGAAGGAAAAAGAAAGAGAAAGAAGGAGAAAGAAAGAGAAAGAAGGAAAAAGAAAGAGGAAGAAGGAGAAAGAAGGAGAAAGAAAGAGAGAGAAGGAGAAAGAAGGAGAAAGAAAGAGAAAGAAAGAGAAAGAAGGAGAAAGAAGGAAAAAGAAAGAGAAAGAAGGAGAAAGAAAGAGAAAGAAGGAGAAAGAAAGAGAAAGGAGAAAAATGAAAAAGAAGGAGAAAGAAAGAGAAAGAAGAAGAAAGAAAGAGAAAGAAAGAGAAAGAAGAAGAAAGGAAGAGAAAGAAGGAAAGAGAAAGAGCAAAAAGGAAAAAGAAAGAGAAAGAAGGAGAAAGAAGGATAAAGAAGGAGAAAGAAAGAGAAAGAAGGAGAAAGAAAGAGAAAGAAGAAGAAAGAAAGAGAAAGAAGGAGAAAGAAAGAGAACGAAGGAGAAAGAAACAGAAAGAAGGAAAAAGAAAGTGAAAGAAGGAGAAAGAAGGAGAAAGAAGGAGAAAGATGGAGAAAGTAAGAGAAAGAAGGAGAAAGAAAGAGAAAGAAGGAGAAAGAAAGAGAAAGAAGGAAAAAGAAAGAGAAAGAAGGAGAAAGAAGGAAAAAGAAAGAGAAAGAAGGAGAAAGAAAGAGAAAGAAGGAGAAAGAAGGAGAAAGAAAAAGAAAGAAAGAGAAAGAAGGAGAAAGAAAGAGAAAGAAGGAGAAAGAAAGAGAAAGAAAGAGAAAGGAGAAAAAAGAGAAAGAAGTAGAAAGAAAGAGAAAGAAAGAGAAAGAAGAAGAAAGGAAGAGAAAGAAGGAAAAAGAAAGAGAAAGAAGGAAAAAGAAAGAGAAAGGAGGAGAAAGAAGGTGAAGGAAGGAGAAAGATTGAGAAAGAAAGAGAAAGAAGAAGAAAGAAAGAGAAAGAAGGAGAAAGAAAGAGAAAGAAGGAGAAAGATAGAGAAAGAAGGAAAAAGAAAGAGAAAAAAGGAGATATAGAAGAAATATTAAAAAAGAGTGAGAGGGTATGAGAAAGAAAGAGTTGAAAAGGGAATGTGAAAATAACAGCTAATTCGGTATTAAAACATGTTTGCATCCTTAACTGCTAGTGTACACTTTTCGCGAGCAACTCCTGAATTTCGATCAAGTGGTTTTTGATATTGTGGTATTCTTGCAAATGTTTTTTGAATTTTAACTAATTTAATCTTTATATGTTACAAACTCATTACCTGCAACAGAATCTTCATTTGATATGCTGTGGCAAGCCTCGCCTATTTCTTGGGAGCCGATGTGAACCAGAACAACATCATTGTTTGGTCTAATGTTTTCTAATACACGATTCATCGTATTTGCAATTTGCAATCGGACAAAATTAATACCATCCAACTTGGCAAGAGCATTTGTTAGCTGAGCCTGGTCAATTTGCCACCCTCTTGAGACTATAAAACATTCAACCGTCACAGGGGTTATCTCAGGAGATAAGATGCGTTTAACAGAATTGTCTATAGGTTCCAATCTTGGATTCTTTACTTCTACTCCGCTTTCACTAGAAGATTCAATCACCATAGTTTCTGAAGAGTTTTCTTTTGAACTTTGTGATTCTATTCCACTGTCTGATTCCTTATTATTGCTAAAATTTTCTGAATATTTTAAAGGCCCTTTCTCATAGATGAGAACATCTTTGTTGCATTTTTTAGATTGTTTGTTATTTTTTCTCATTTCATAATGACGCTTACTTTCTAATAAATTTTCAGAGTCATCCTCATACTTTTTGATTCTTATTATTCTTTCCTCCTCAGCTGCACTTAGCATTGGAAGACGATCAGTGCTAAAACAATTTCGCTTTGATTGTTGAAGGATTTCTTTGGCATTTTCAATTGAAGAGTTTATTTTGCTAAGTTTTTCAGTTGACACAGACTGGGCTCGTGTTCTCCATAATTTCCGTCTGTATTTTTGACGAACACTCGCGGGCTTTGTTGGAATATCTGCTGGATTGCTTTTAATTTTGGATCTTTTATTGGCAGTCCTTTCTGAATGAACAAATTCACGTATGACTCTATGCTTTACTTTCTCTACATACCCTCTGAAGGGTGATGATCTCTTAGGATGAAATTTATGCCTTTTCATTGATTCCTCCATCACTACAAATTCCATTATAACATCCCTCTCCATGCCATCACTACATTCTTCCTCATTATCATATTTAAAATCTGATAAATTGCTCATACTTGATGGAATAGTTCCTTCAATTGCATAACTGTATGCTCCATCAGGAGACTGCCTAACTTCATTAAAGTCTGGGATACCAAAAGGAGCATCATAAACATTTGAGTCCCTGGACTCTTGATTAATGAGCATTGTAATAACTTCCCCCTCAAACATGCTCATTTGTGTGTTTCTACCTGAGATTGGATATGTATTGGAGCATATTGAATAGTCCTGTGTTGGGGTTGGTGGAAGGTTGTGATTATATCCAGGACAATCATAATAAACAGGGTACGCAGGCGACATGGATGATGATGGGAGTGACGGTGTTGGTATTTGATCTGCAGGTGGTCGAGCTGCTGGATATTGTTCAGGAGGTGGAATACCTTTCTTCTCCTTGATGTACTGTTTATGCACAGGAATTCTTCCATTTTTTGATTTAGCCTCCTGGTGTTTTTCTTCTTTGATAATATCCTTTTTATCTGGCATTTTTGGAGTCACAATAATTTTTTTCCTAGGGGATGAACTATTTTCCAAATCTGAAAGCTCACATGATTGAAGTTCTTGGTTTGAAGTTATTGTAATTTTGAAATCATCTCCTTCTATTATCTTACTTATAGTAGCATTGGTGGTAGATAAACTTGGATTAGTTGATAACTGTTTAGACTTATCTTTATCATTTCTTATTTTCTTCTCTTTTTTATCCTCTGGTTTTTTGTCCCCTGCCTTTTTATCATTGTTTTTATCCCTTAAAATTTTTTTGTCATTTGATTTATTTTTCTCCACAAGACTCTCTTTTATTTTTACTTCTTTAACTACAGGCTTTCTTTCAACAGACTTACTTTTTTGTAATGCTTTATCCTTCACATCCTTTTTTTTCCTGTCAAGTGATTGGCTTTTTCCTGCTTGCGAAGTGGTCTTCTCATTTTCTTTGTTTTTTGTAGGCATTTTGACAGAAGGAGATTTCTTCTTTACTTCTTTAGGATCTTGAGAGATTACCTCTTCATTACAGATCGCATCATCAGTGGAAGGAGTTCCACCGTCTGCATCATGTCCCTGGCCAAGAAATGTCATTGAATCAGTAACCTCTTCAATTTTATCATGCTTGTTAAATTTTTCTTTTCTATTTGATCTAGATAGCCTCTTTCCATCTTGATCTTTTTTAATGACAGCATCATCCTGATCTTTCAGAACATCTGTAAGAGTGCTCACATCTGCTGTTGTTAAGTCTATTGTTTGACATTCTTGGTGGGTGTTCAGAGATTCATATGTTTGTTGTTCAGTGTCAACAAGAACTTTGTTTGGCGCCAACATTTTCAATGAACTTATTGGTTTAACAGTTTTCTCTGACAAATCCTCATCAGAAGAAGTTAAGTAATCTAAACCTTTTGTCATTCTTGAGCTGCTTTTACTTTTACTTCTTCTTTTCTTTTTCCGAGTTTCTCTTTGTTTGGCCTCAATCGAGGAGGCAGATGATATTGGAGAATTCGGTTTAAGTTTTCTCATGTTTTCTAAAAGCTCATTCATTTGTTGCTCTATTGAATTATTGTGTTGTATTTGTGCATCATGGTTTCTAGATTCTAGCAGTTCTTTCCGGAGATGTTCATTATCAGATTTTAAAACATGAATTGCCTGGTCCAGTTGATCATCCCTGATTTTTAAAACCTTCTCTAGCTTTAGCATAATCATGTCTACTAACTCATCAGATTTGCCATTGAGCTTACCATTTTTCATAATCTCAATTTTGTTGTCATCTCCATCAAACAGTTCATTTTCTTTTTCTCCATTTGAAAGAACTTTTGATTTCATCTGTGTAACATGACAACACAAGTTATCAACTCCTGTTTGAATGTTCACCAAAGTATCAGCAATCCCTGAAATAGTTTGTCCTGTAGAATTAAGGCTCTCCTTGACAGGTTCCATTTCATGATGAATCATTGTAGCAAGTTGTACTCCTGAGAATTGTTGTGCATCGAGGTCACTAATCAAACTTTCATTTCCAAGTTCCAATAACTCTGTTTCTGACACACTTCTCATAAAATGTGACATTTCAGCATTAGCTCCAACTACATGCCCCCTGAAAGTTGCCACATTTGATATCTTATCAGTTGCAACAGAATAAGTTTCAGTGTCACTTGTTAGGAACTTATTATCATCCTCTACGTTGACCCAGATTTCATCTGAATTTGGGGTCTCTCCTTCATTACCTAGTTTTGATAAATCCATGTAATTTACAGAGCGGGAAATGTCTATCTGTAGCTTCATACCATCATTCCATGCTGTGTAGTGTGTATCAGAGAGTGCTCTTTGCACTCCATCCAAAGATACAAAGGATGGGCTTCGGCCACAGTCGTTTACCCCAGGATCAGATTCAGAAGAAACTTTTAAAGCATTCATAATATCAGATTTGACTGATTCTTTGTCAAAGAAAGACTCTTCGACATGTTCCAACAGAACCCTAAAAACAATTTCATCTGTTAAGGTGTTATGTTTGATAAAAGTAGAGTTTCTGTCTGCTTGATTGGGCGATTTTCTAACAACCTTTTCCTCAGTTACTGTCTGTGCTTCACTATTTGTAAGAGAGGGTAAATTTGTTTGTGTTACATTATTTGTAATGTGCTTTTTAGGGGGCTGTGTTTTGGTCAGTAAAATATCAGGTTGACATCTTTCATGGTTGTCAGGTAATTCAGAGAAATTTTTACCATCATTTGATTCAGCACTGAGTTCTGTTTGCACCTCTATGTTACTACATGTCTTCTCTATAATGCATTGTATGCTTTGTTCATCCAGACACAAGACTTCAGTTTGACAAGATGACTCTGTGTGCTGTTTCAAATCAGTTTGTGTTTCTGTTTGGTTTTGAAGGTGAACTTGACTATTCTCTGTTTGAAATTCCTTGTCCAATACAGTTACAGTGCATTGTGTTGTTTGGCATGAAGTTTCAACAAAGGTATTTTGTCTCCTAAGACCGGGACGTTTTTCTTTATATTCAAGAAACACTGGACTCAGTGATCGACTGGTAGGTGTTCTTAATCCTAATGAGCCCTCTTGACTGGACTGGCTTTGAATGGAGTGCAGATGTTCTTGATTCGAGTTTGTGTAATTGTCTTGGTACTGATTTCCAATATGAATTGGCAAAGTTGTTTTCCTCCACTTTCCTCCAGAAATTGTTTCTCCGTTTAGTTTGTTAATTCCCCTACGATTAACCAGCAAGCTTACCTTTTCCAACTCCCTTCCCCCAATATTAACCACCAGATCAATTATCTGCTTCTCTTCATCTGTTTCATGCTGGCTCCAGTCCTCCTCAAAGTCTGATGTTGGAGGTATTGAAGAGAACTGATTTCTTAAACATTCTGAAATGAAGTAAAATTTACCCTTCTTGTAAACTTGTATAGATTAAACAATTGAAAAGATGCATGCAATAGAAAGCTAAAACGAAAACCAACAATTTACACAGAATCTACAAAATAATGGCCATTGCTTTCAGAATTAGAAAGAGAACAAAAATTTCTATTTAATATATTCTTCTTTCCTTTTGAAAATAGTTTAAAAGTGGCTTTTTAATTGGATAATAAAAGAAACACTAAAGTTCTTGCTATAAAAAGTACAATATTTTTTTTTCTCTCATTATTTATAATAATAATTATAATTATCTTTTGTTTCAATAGGTCTATGTGGGAATGAAAATGATTGTTAAAAAGGGAAAGTGAAAAAGTAATGTAAAAGTAATGTAAAAGAAACTTTACTTCTGAGTTCTGAAGAAACTTTCATGCCGATAAATCTAAATACATATACTTTGCTTGTCTGTTTGTATCCAATAAACGCCAAAACGGCTGAACCGATCAGGTCCAACTTTTGTGTGGGACCTTACATGGGAAGGTTTATAAATATTAATGATCAAAATTTCAAATATTGGCCTCCTAAAAACTTCGATTTTCATTAAATTTTGAAAATCCACGAAATTTTGTTATAAAAGAGAAAATGTTGAATTGAAATAAAAGATGAGCGCGGAGCACCCTGAAAGTCCAGTATCTTATATTATTTTTTTTTTTTAATTATATACTATATAATAATGTATTGTATATTTATTTATAAATTCTTCTTTTTTAATTGTGAAATGTTCTCTTTATATACATTGTAAAACAAAAACAAAAAATAATTTTGTGGATTTTAAAAATTTTTAAATATCCAATTTGTTAGAGGCAACTTTTGGAAAATTCGATCACCCATAAACCCGAAAGCTGTGGAATAGTAAAATTAAGATAGCAATACTTAAGTGTATTTGATGTTGTGATGTTGTTACAAAGCAAATATAGTGACTCATTAACTCACTTATTAAGTAGAATGGGTTTGTTTACGATGTACATTTGCTGTGTCTCATGTTAAAGTCGACATCCTATTCCATAGTTTTCTGGTTCTAGCTGTATATATTCTGTAAATTTTCATGAACAGAAAAATAGTTCAAAACATAATCCTTTTTCAGCTGAAAAAGTACATTCAAAAGTACATTATTCTCATCCTTGATCAGAAAAAAGGTTTAAAGGGTATCGTTGCGAATCTGATGTGTCACTCTTTAAATAGAGGGTCACTGAAAATCACGTTTAAATTCCCTTTCATTGTTTCCTAACCTTGTCTGCTGGTAGCATGATGAGCTGTGGCTCGTGCAAACTTTACTTCAGAACTATCATAATCCTTGACCAGGGTTAAATATAGTTTCAGGTCTTATTTTTCAAACAAATAGAGTTTTGTGATGGAGATTATAAAGCCGGGATCAGGGCTTAATTTGGACTTGTTCAATGTTGCAATCCTTTCTGCATGGTTTTTTTCATTCCTAACTTGAAAAACTTATTAAAGACAGCAGTTATGGAAACTTTTAGCAGAAACTAGGTTTTGAAACTAGAGACAAACCAACTTTTGAAGGCAATTTTTAAACTTGAAATATAAACAGTTCTGGAAACTTTTAAAGAGAAACCAGGCTTTGAAACTTAAACAGAAACCACGTTTCAAAACCAGGTTTCAAAACTTTTAACGGGAACCAGATCTGGAAACTTATAATACAAACCAGCTTTGAATATTTAAACAGAAATCAGGTTTGAAACTTTTCAAATTTTTAAACTTGTGTTTTATTCATTTAAAACCCAAATTGATGTGTTGTGTATAAGAGTGTTGTACCAAATGGAAAGTAAATTGAAAACTGAAGGAGTAGGTTGGAAAAAGGATTATTGACATATTGGTTGATTGGTTGATTGAATATAAGTAATTTGTTTACAAAACATTTTGTTGCTATGAGTGCTGGGCCTAAAAGGTTATAAACCAACCAATCTAACAATGCTTTTTGAACTTAATGGATTTAGATTTTTATTCTAAATTGAAAAAATAATATTAAATATTTTTTCGTAAATCGTATTTTAATTGAATTAGAATATTTCTAATATTATATTTTTACTGTACTAGGTGGGTGGTGGAGAGAGGTTTCAAATGACTATTATTATAAAATGATAAAGTGACATGTTCTTTCTTAATTTATTGTATCTATGTTAATTTTTAAAAACAATTTTTAAAAGCTATAGTCAGTCAATGATTAATTACCGGGCGATAAAACGATCAGGGCCTTATAAAAATATTTTATGGTTTGATTATTTCATATTAAACCCTGCCTGAACCTGAGTTTGAGGAGTAGTAAGCTCGTCAACTTTGACACTAATTTAACAACTTTTTAATTATTTTACTCTTTGAAAACAACTTCTGTACAGCTTTTTACAATTGTACTGCTGGTACCGAACCGGACAGTGGACAGTACTACTGAATGCATTTACAGTACATTTTGTACCGGCACCAGGGGGATGATAGTTTCCTACCTGTAAGCTCAGTTAGCTGTACTGTACACTTACAACTGTTTACTAATAATGATATACTAATGTTAGGCCAGAACCTCCTTACAATAAACAAATATGCAGTACGCTCTCGGTATAGTTTATGGCCTATAAAATTAGTAAAGGACTAGCGTACATCATCACTCTATACACTATAACCTACTTGACCGGCACAGATCATGCAAGTTTTAGATTGCGGTTTATGATTAAATATATAAGATGGTATATAATGTATATAATATGACGGTCTTTGCTACTGGAAACTAGACGGAAGAACACTGTGACTTAAAGGTCTCAAGCCCTCAAGTGCTTTACAGTGCTAAAATGTACATATAAAGGGCTACAGAAAAGCAAAAATGAGTTAGAGCTGTAAAACCAAAGCCCAAGGCGTTGTGACACTTCAAAGTCGACCCTGTCTTAAAAATTGATGAGACTTTTTATAAGCATGAGCTGAATCTTTGTGAAGAAAGGTAAATTTATGCGTAATCATTGGTACGACTTCAGGACCTCTCAGCTCATCTATTTTAAGATTTCAATCTAACGTGCAGTTTACTTTAGTTTGACGTGGTGCAGTTTACTATAGTTTGACGTGGTGGAGTTTACTTTAGTTTGACGTGGTGCAGTTTACTTTAGTTTGACGTGGTGCAGTTTACTTTAGTTTGACGTTGTGCAGTTTACTTTAGTTTGACGTTGTGCAGTTTACTTTAGTTTGACGTTGTGCAGTTTACTTTAGTTTGACGTTGTGCAGTTTACTTCAGTTTGACGTGGTGCAGTTTACTTCAGTTTGACGTGGTGCAGTTTACTTCAGTTTGACGTGGTGCAGTTTACAGTTTAGAAATTCTCATCCGATTTATATACAGGGTTACCCACAAGGAATGAGACTTCAGAGACGACTGTACAGAATTGTTAACTGTCTGTTTCCTTATATTCAGGATACCCCATCAACTGTAATCCTGGTTATTTCTTTGTCATAATCCTTGCATAAGCCATAAAAAAATTATAGTCAAGGCGGAGGACTTAATTTAACCTCGGAATCGTAAATTTTAAATAGTTTCTGGTCGTCTTTACAGTCTCATCTTTTGTGGGTAACCCTCGGCCCGGAATTCGGAAATTTCGGAGAAAAGAAAACAAAGTGTAAATTTTGTTCTAGGAAACAAACATTTTTTTCGGTAAAAATCGAGTTTACGAAATTGAAACGGAAACAGTTGGTTTCTATTCTTAAATTTTTTAAAACCAAAAGGCCGAAAAAAAAAAGAAAAAAATTCCAAGGCGGTAAAGGAAAAAAAAAAATCCAGACTCCAGAGCTTCCAGAGCGGGTTGAAAAAGTTTTCTCTAAACAATTTTTTTTGCATATATTCATGGAATGTGAAATAGTTTCCGGCTGAAAATATGTTTTCTTAAACAATCTTGAAGTATCTTCCTTCATTATTGTGTGGAGGGGAATATAGATATGTTTAGTCAATACCCTTCCCTTGCAATATCCCCTAGCCCCTTTCTAAGTTTTATACCCCCCCCCCTTAGGTTTATTCCCCCCCACCTTCTTCAGATTACCCAAATTTCCTTGATAAAAAGACAAAACAATAAAAAATATATTATTCGGCGTCGATTTGATTTTTAAATGTTGGCTGCAATCTTCAAGCTTAATTAGAATAAGAAGAACATTTAGTTACAATGAAAAAAAAACTTTGAATATTAAATTTGCACTCTTGATGAACAAATATGCACCGTAAAAATGTCTGAGAGATCTCAAATGAATCCCAAAAATTTCATTGCCGGTCACTCCCTTTAAGTAAGATTGACAGGAGGAAATCTTGCCCTTTTTCATTTCAATTCAAGGCATTAAAGACCACTGTTTTGTGATCACTTAATTATCATGACATTCATTTTAATTTTTATAATTTTCCCCATACTTATCTGATCGTTGCAATATTGTAATAAAAGTTCGCAACAAATGAAAAAATATAAGTATTTTTTATTACTGTGATAACTAGGAAATTCTGAAAGAGGAGGACGACTTTTAGACTCAAGCTATGCCTTTTACCGCCTTTTGACCAACATTACCGACAGAGGGAGGTTAATTAACCTAACGTCTCTTGAGACAATTATGTGAAATAACCACCCACCCTGTGAAGTTTTTGTAAAAACTTTACACATTTTCATATCAAAAAAACGAAAAAATTGTGTACAATTACTTTTTAATTTGATTTTTTAATTTTAATTTGAAAATTTAACTTTACCAGGGGTTATCTCGTCCAACTTGACCTAAAAACATCCAGAGCATGTTTTGTAGCCAAAATTGGTCTTGGGTAGCCTTGGTCCATTTCACTTTATCAAGAATTTTAATTACAGAAAACGTATTTGCTTTGTAACAACATCGAATTGCTACAAAGTCGTCTTCCTATTCCATTGTTGGTGTATGTTCTGGTAAACATGTTTTAATCAACATGAACCAAAAATGAACCAAAAATTAACCAAAATTAATGGTAACCAGTACAAACGTCGGACCCACAAACGTCGGAGGTTACAAAGGTCGGACAGTACAAACGTCGGACTTACATACGTCGGACTGGTACAAACGTCGGTCCAGTACAAACGTCGGACCATCATTAACGTCAAACGTGTACTTTCATAATGAAAAACGTCGGACTTTGGTTGAGTTTGAAAGAAAATTGAAAATCGATCACTTATTGTGTATTGTGTATTGTGTATTGTGTATTGTGTATTGTGTATTGTGTATTGTGTATTGTGTATTGTTTATTGTGTATTGTGTATTGTGTATTGTGTATTGTGTATTGTGTATTGTGTCTTGTGTATTGTGTATTGTGTATTGTGTATTGTGTTAATACAAAGTTTGAAGCAAAGATATTGGATCAGAAAATCAGAGTTTGTGGCAAATCAAAATAATCTCTTACTTTTCTTTTTGTTAGGATCCATTTCGGTTTTAATATTTTAATACCTTGAAGGATAGAATTCTGATGAATTGTTTGGAATCTCTCCTCTTCTTGATTTATTTTGCTTTTAGAATTGGTTTCTTCAGTTTCTGAACCATCCATAGTTGTTCCTCGTTCTATTCTGCAAACAAATACTTTTTTAAGATTAAAGATTTCTTTCTTAAGAAGCCGTCAACGTAATCCTTCCCCCTCCCCTCCAAGTTAAACAGGTAGTTACTGTGTTATTTTATTTAAGAAGTTTTGAAATTTTCTTCTTTTTTTCTGATACAAAAATGGTCAAATTATTTGCATAAAGAAATCCGATGTGAAAATGATCAATTTTAGAAAGAAAAACAACAAAATCTTCGTCAATATTTTGCTTGATAAATGTTTTTAAAGGATACTGATGTGAATCAGGTTTGCCACTTTTTAAAATTTTTTTAATTTTTAAATTTTTAATTTTTAAAGTTGAAAAGCACTACCTGGCTATTCTTTTATTGTTAGTGTTACTCAGGCTCACACTACAATCAATTCCACTGTCTCCTGAAAAAGTGTTTATTAATAATTATTTACAACTACTTTACAGGGAAGTTAAGGGAATTTTACTTTGTTTTATACTAGTTTACTATATAGGGTAAAATTTTTCAAGAACGTGTTTTTTAGATTTTCTGTTTAGAATCTAGTACGTATACAATTGTGTACTACAACTTCAAGGGAGATTATTTTATTTTATTGTTCCAAGGGACGTTAATTAACTTAACATCCCGCTGTTGGGAGGAAAAATGGCTTGGTGCAATGGTAATGTTGTCCAAAAGGTGGTAAAATGTTTTTTTTTATCTTCGATTACTATCAAGTAACATTTTAACTTAAATGTGTACACCAACTTTTTAAGAGCAGTGCAGCTTGAGGTTGAATTGTAAAAAATTTTTGGTGGATTTTTTTGTAAAAATCATAATAATTTTATATATTATGAAGTAAACCATGCCATAATAAATTAACTTAATTATACAGTTATGACCAGAACAAAGTGGAATTATCTCTAGAATCTCGAAACTTTAATCCCGTGTATGAACTGTCACCTGAATCAAGGGTTGTCTGGGATTCAATATTTCTGGTTAAATGATCCTCCGCCTCCTCCGCCCTGCCGGATATAATCAGAGCAAAGGCGTTCTCCGCCTCCCTCCAGCTCCGGGATCTGGGCGGAGCAGTCTCCGTCTGGGTCCCAGCTCCAACCTTCCTTCTGCTTCGAGAGGATCTTCCAGCTCCAAGTTCATCCTCAGAACTCAGACCGTGTTCAGCTATCCACCTTGAGATAAAGGGACTATAAGAGTTATTTCAAGTCACAATGTCACCCCGGACTAACCAGAGTGAGACCCGTTCGGTTTCTTCTATTTTAAGTCATATGCGTTAAACCTCTAAACATACGGATTTTTTAGTCGTATACTTTTCATTCAAAAAGTATCTGCCGGCAAATAAGTATAAAAAAAGACTAAAAAGTGATGTTTAATGGGTCAAATTGTGATTTAAAATCACAGCTTTCAGGAATATTGACAGAACCGTTAAATCCATGGTGATGTCCGACTCACAACAAAACCCGGCCATAAAAGGTTTCTCTGATCAATATGAATCAGATTTTAATGCTTAAGCTTGGAAACCTAAATATTTTCAATTGTGGTTTTCTACAGTGAAACACTTAATAACGAATACAGCGGAAGAATTTATCAAATGTCGTCTTGACAATTTTTCAATGAGTACTATATTACGGAAATTTCAGTATTTGCGAAAATAAATAAATAGCCAAAAGTATGCGGGAACAGTTTTAAAGAGTTACATATAATCATTTAATTAAAAAGCTAAATATCTGCAATATTCCATTATCAGAAAGTGAAAAATATGACATTTGATGAATTCTTTCGATGTATTCGTTATTAAGGGTTTCATTGTATAAAATTGACTTGCGCAGGAAAACAGATTCAAACATTTTAAAATCTTGAATATCTTTCTTCATTGTTTATCAGATAAAGGTTTCAAGGGTACCGTTGTGAATCGGGCATTGCCATCTTTTCCTTGGTTGTCTCTTGAAATTATGCGTACAGTCCCTTTAAGAGAATGATAAAATAATCTTTTAACTCTTTTGTTTAAAATTACATACATGGTAAATGAGAGATGGTTTCAGGATCGTTTTTTATCTTTATTAGCTTTCAGAATGATAATTGAAAGACAGAATTGTTTTTATCTTTAATAACTTTTTAAAGGACAGGTATCATCAAAAAATTATCTTCTTCGTTTAATAAATATTTAGTAAGAAATAACAATTTTTTAAAAATCCCTTCGCCAGGACCATGGAATCATGTTATTATTCAAAATGATTCGTATAACACGATATTGATGAATAAATGCCAAGATATATCTCAAGAAGGCGACACATAAATTAAGAAACACTGTACCTTGTATCCTGGTATAATAGGATCTTGAGACACACTATACCTTGTATCCAGGTATAATAGGATCTTGAGACACACTATACCTTGTATCCAGGTAGAATAGGATCTTGAGACACACTGTACCTTGTATCAGGTAGAATAGGATCTTGAGACACACTATACCTTGTATCCTGGTAGAATAGGATCTTGAGACACACTATACCTTGTATCCTGGTAGAATATGATCTTGATACACACTATACCTTTTATCCAGGTAGTATGACTTTGCTCCGTGTTCTTCTATCCCTCTCTCCTCTAGTCCTCTCTCCAGTAGGTCAGCACACAGTCCAGATACATCATTAGGTCGCTCATTCAATACCTAGTTAGAGATACTCTTTACAATATCACAAGACTTAATGGGAGATTGGCCTGGGCCAAACCAAAATGGAGTTAGTACTCACGAAGAATCGAAAGGAGGAAGATTAACCCGTTATATGAGACGGACGAAAGATAATGTTAATATATTTTTTCCTATACTCAGTAAACTTTCTCACATCAGTTCCAGGCTTTATATTTCCTTTATTTTCAACAACTTTTAAATGGTAATAATATATCATTCACGAACTTTTTTCAAGATAGAAAACCTTCAGATCTTCATAGTAAACCCTATTCCTGACTGGGCTATATTTTTCTAATATATGCTGTGGGGGGNCCCTTACGAGTTGAGATAGGGGGTGCGATACATGTCCTTAGTCCAACTTTTCAAGGCCTGCTCATTAAAAAAAACAAGACCTCTAAATGTAATGAATATGGAGTGCAAGGGAGGACTTTAAGTAAGTTCAAAAAGTATGTGGGAAAAATGTTTGAAAATAATTATATTTCATTTTGAAACATATCAACATATGACAAATATCATAATATTATTACATTTTTCAAGGCTTTTCAAACATTAATTAATAAAAAAGTTGTGAGGCATTTTTGTAACACCGACCCCCCGTTTAACTGTCCTCCACCCTACCCTATGCATTAAAAAAATTGCCAACATTATTTAGAAAAAAAAAACAAAGAGAGGGGGAGGTGATAGGGTTAAAGAATTTCAAGTTATCATTAAAGTCTCATCCTTTATGCGGAATCCTGTATATTCAAGATTTAACACTAAACACTAACAGATGTGAGAATAGAAATGCAGAAAATCACTAATAAACTATTTATTTATCAGTTTTCATACATACGATTTTTAAAATAAAATATTAAGAAATTATTGTTTTTCTTAGATTTTTTGCTAGTTTACATTATCTATTAAAAATCATGAAAATGAAAAATGGATTTTATCGAACGAAAATTGAAAGTAAATTTAAAGAAAATGGACGAAATTTTTGCGAAATTGAGGTTGAAAATTTCGTCGAAATTACATCGAAATTTGCGAAAATTTTGAACGAAAATTATGATGGAAACCCTACTTAAAATGCATTTGCCTTTTGTTTCATGATGAGAATGGATAAAATGAATATATTCTGATAATCTTTTCATTTACAAACTGCATTGTATCTATTCTTGCTAGCATCGATTTGTAATGATTTTAATTTATAATTACTTTTCCCGTTCATATATTTATTCTTGAATGGACCCTGTAATCCCGCAATATATTTAGATGTCGTCTTTGTTACAACTAGCATTTCGGTAGAAAAACATATATTTTATTGCTGCAAAAGCACAAGAAAGCACAGGGGTTTCGGGATAATCTAAATATTTAAATAGATTTTAAAGAAATTCATATTCTTACAGTATGCAAAAATGTGGCTCAGTCAGAAGATTTTTCAAATTTTTCAAAACAAACAATTTTCTTTTATCTTCTGTCAGCGTCAAAATTTTGCATAATTTCAAAAAAGAAAACCAAAAGAAAATTAAATTTTATATCGCGATGGAATTCGTAGATTTTTGCGAAAAAACCCTGAAAGCCCAAAATCCCAAGAATGTGAATAAAATTCAAAATATCAATAACCAACTGTAATCCTGATGTATTCCTGTTAATCGTGTTCAATTTGCAGTTTTTATATCGTTCATTTGTAATTTTGGAATCATTAATAAGTAATTTCAACTGACCCTTCATTAAAAAAATAAAGTGGCATGCCTGATTTAAATGGTACCATGAAAAGAACAAGAATAAAAAAGATATATTGTGGGAAAACAAAGTAGAAATAATCAGAATTTAACACTTTCCAAAGCAGAAAATAACAATTTCTTCCGCGTTATTAAAATCAGATAAGGGTTTCAATGGTACCATTGTGAATCGGGCAATGACATCTTTTTTATGTAGGGATCTTGTGGCATATAACACAATTAAATACTGGAGAAATAAAACACAAAATTTTCATCAAAAAATTTAATTATTAGAAATTTTGGAGCACTTTATTGTATAAAAATCTGAAGAAAAAATGTTATTCACTCAAAATTTAAATTGAAATTCAACATAATTAGGTTCCTAAAATATAACAAACCAAAATTTTTTGTTAAACAAAGCTTTAATTTATGATTTTTAATGAAATTCAAAATTTGGAACCATTTTTTAAAGGTTTCAAGTGTACCATTTTGTATCGGGCAAAAGTGAAAGTGAAAACTTTAAAGTTCTTTTTTTAAGTATTATCCACCTGTTTGGAAAGTAGGTTTAGAATTGCTTTTAACCCTGGAGGAACAGATATACTTCTTTTACCTTAAATAATATTTTTATTATTTTCATTATTAGTAATATTATTAGTATTATCATCGTCATCGTCATCGTCATCGTCATCGTCGTCTCATCATTATTATCATCATCATCATCATCATCATCATCATCATCATCATCATCATCATCATCATTTATTATTAATATTACAATAATAACCTTCTCTTCTATCCCCATGAGGGGGAAGAGAGCTGTTTCTTCCTAGGGAAGATAAAGAGAACTCTGAACAAGAAGACTGTCTACCATAATCATAAATATCTTCTTCTCTCCCTGTATACTCTAAACTCAAGAACAAAATCAGAGACTATCCACTATACAGGCTTACCCACAATGGATGAAGCTTCAGAGACGACTGCACGGAATTTATACAAAAGGTAATGTTACAATATCATCTATACGCAACTATCTTCGCTAAACTTCTGGGTCGAGCGCTGCAGCTAGAAAAGGCTATGAGACATGTCCAACTAGTAGCAGTTAAACTACATGAAAATGTTAATATCATTCAAATTGGATGAAAATTAACGTATAAGTATAAGTGCCTTGAGAGTAAACCAGCTTAATATAACTTTTATAATTTAATTGATTCTAATAGTTGAACAGAAATATAAAACGAATATTGTTTTGTGCACTTTGTGAGTCAATAATTCTATTCCAAGGCATAGGGAACACAACTTTACTAATCTGATTTAGTTTGTTCCTTGTGAATAAGAGTTATCTGCACTTGAGGCATCCATCTTGATTGTACTCTGTACAGAACTACAGTGCCTGTGTCGTGATTGGTTAACTGCAGAGTGTACACTTTAACCACCTGGCAATAAACCGGTTTTTGTAATTAATGGAAATCCACATCAAATTCAAAGAAGATAAAAGACCATTCATTAATGTGATAGTGCACTTAAAAGGAATCCTGCGGCACTAGAAAATTTTAGAGGGACAAATTTTGTAGCAAGGTCTAAATAGTTAAAGTTTCCTGTTCTTTCACCAACTGATTGATGTCTCTTCCTAGTTCCCCATACTCCTTCGTCATGAGAAGGTGAATTATCAACCCTACTTCTGCTGTACTCAGTATAGTGATCGGAGTAACTGGTTCTCGGCGTGTAGCTATAACTTCCACTTCTAACTCCTCTGCTACTAGTTCTTTGTTTGGGATAGTCCGGACCAGGTCCATTGTAGTCCTGCCAGGCTTTAGAGTATCCTGTTCTACGTCTTGATCTACTCCCTGCTCTTGATGGAGTTGGGTCGGTAGATCGATTGCTGCTCAAGTTGGAAGCCGGTACTTGGAACTGATACAGCCTCCCTGTAAAAAAAAACAAAAATGTAAGGACCCATTTTTATATTAAATTTCATTTATTGATTTTTTTATGAATCACCTGGCAAACTCTGGTTGTGTCTAAACTTGCTGCGCTTTGAGGTCATACTTTATCTTACATTTGACCTGAAATATATTTACTTTACACCACATTATATTTTGTTGATAAATCATTCTCTTCAAAAATAATTTTTCCCCATCAAGTCAGAAATGTTTTTTTTAGTTTTTTTATTACAAAATGTGAAAAAGTACTGGTTTAAAGGGGAAAATTAAGGAATGTGTAGTCAAATAAAATTTCGAAATTGTGTCTTGTATGATGCATCTAATGTAATATCGTATGTACCCTGTACTCTTTAATTACAATATAAAGCACAAATGACATGGGGTAACTTTTTATTATTGTTTTACAAATCATGCTTGTAGAATGTAGAATTAGGTTTAGGAATAAACATTGTAATGGGTTTACAGTTACACCCTTTGATTAATGTAGATGTCAAGTCTACAAGAAATATCAAGAATGGGCTTACACCCTTTGACTAATGTAGATGTCAAGTCTACTAGAAATATCAAGAATGGGTTTACAGTTACACCTTTTGATTAATGTAGATCTCAAGTCTAATAGAAATATCAAGAATGGGCTTACACCCTTTGATTAATGTAGATGTCAAGTCTACTAGAAATATTAAGAATGGGCTTACACCCTTTGATTAATGTAGATGTCAAGTCTACTAGAAATATCAAGAATGGGCTTACACCCTTTGATTAATGTAGATGTCAAGTCTACTAGAAATATCAAGAATGGGCTTACACCCTTTGGTTAATGTAGATATCAAGCCTGATAGAAATATCGAGAATGGGCACACCCTTTGATTAATGTAGATATCAAGCCTGATAGAAATATCGAGAATGGGCTTACACCCTTTGAGTGTACATGAATTTGAAATGTGTTTGATTAGTTTAGAGCTTACTTGTTCAAAGTAATTGCAGTAAGTGCAATGAATAAATTCTTGAAAATGTTTTGATTATTTAAAGAATTCTAGGTAACACATTGTCAATAAAATAAGAAATATTTTTTTGTAAATGTACAATTTGACTTTTGTTATTTTCAATATCAATACTTTTTCCTTCCTGAATAACTTTTATAAATACACCATTTTATATTAATATACAGGGTGTCCCATGAACCATGACGGTTGGTGAATAGTTTAAAATGTCTTCTTCCATAATTTCACGGGCAGCCGTAGTACATTTGAATTTCCGAGCCAAGTCAACCTTCCCGGTCCCAGTTTGTATTGTACCTATTTCTATGGACTAGCCGGTGCAACAAGGTTGACGCGGTCAGACTTTATGCTTCATATAGGATGAATTTTACTAAAGGGGCAGAGGTGCGTGATTTGTTAAGTTGTTTGATACCATAAATAATACTGAAAAATATCGATCATATGGTTTCATATTATAGTAAAATTGATTTCAAAGTTCAGTATATTTGTATTACAAACTTGTTAACGAAATATTTTGCAAACAGTCTTTAATATCTAATAAAGTATATGGAAAAAGACATTCAAAACTATTCACCAATTGTTATGTAATGAATTATGTAATCATGCTAGTAATATCTTTGTTATCTATGTTCGTTTATCTATCATATCTATGTTTCATGTTGACCCTGGCCAGCCATTCCGGTCATTTCTATTTACTTGTATTAATAAAGTAGTATAGTACGATAGTCGATTTAGACGGACGTGTATAGAGCCTTGAGTTTTGGCAGAGTCAGAGAGATTGACATTAGACTAAGAGTCAAGTTTTCGGAGATTTCAACGGGTCTAGATTCATTACAGTTTTGTTTCGTGAGACACCCTGTATATTAATGTGTTAAGTACTACATATTATATGGGACACCCTGTATAACATAAAATTTTATCTTTCAATCTATCAATCTATCATCGATATTTGTTAGAAAGCTTATTTATTCCCTTATTTCCCTGTTGTTATGATAATAAAGATTCCCCTAGGGCTTGTGGTGGGAAGGGGGGGGAGTGAGTTAATAAATGGTGTGGTCCTCTTTTGACCCAATTATTGACTATATGAGCTAATCTACCCCTGTTTGTACACCCCTTGAAAATATTATAATAAAAGGCGGTATCAGTCCAATGAAAGCAAACACACGCTGTTCCGTATACAACCAATTCGCTATGGCATCTACAATCTACATATATATCTTATACAGACTAGAATATAAAAATTTTAAGAAAAGAAGACTTCAACCCTATAGATCCAGCATTGCCCAGGGGAGTTATACTTAGTCCCACTGTTCCCCCGACCTTTGTCGTAAATTACGATTTTAGCTTTTTTCCCGTTAATAGTAGATTCACTCAACTTAGAATCTCAAAACCAATCTAAGAACATTCCCGTGGTTTTTCCGAGTTCCCTAATTAAAATTTGAGGCAAATCGGTCAAGGGGTTCCTGAGTTATAAGCGAAAAAACTAACAGACAAACATATTTTACAACTTTATATAAGAGAATGAACAATGTTTTGATAAAATCTGGACTCCCTCATCTTCTTGCATTATATCATACGGTGGTAGGTGATTATATCAATATAATGAAGACGATATTTTGTATTAAAATTTAATTGCTAAGAAGCCTTTTTTCGAATTACAAAGGATTTGAGTATTTGCCACAAACTCAGAATTTCTAATCCCTATATTTTTGCAACCCAATGCCGTAGACCTTAGAAGTTTGAAACATCAAAGCTTTGCACCATCAAGTTGCTAAGATATAAGGATTAGAAAATTTGAGTTTGTGACAAAGACTCATCTCCTTTACAAGTAATAAGAGAGAAGCTTTTTTAATTGACAGCTTCTTTTTATTTCCATGTTTTTGTTTATCCATGCTGTTTTAAAGCTTAATGAAAAATAAAAATTGAAATCGAAAATCGTCTTCATTAAATTTATATTCTCTTATCACCGTAGTTTCTTTTCCTTTTTATATTATTTGTGTAATTACTAATAATTAATTACTTTAACTTGAAGATTAACAAAGTTAAGCATGAAAAGTTTTGGTTTACAGCTCTTTAACTTCTGCAAGCTGTAGAATTGATCCTTGAAAGTAGGGTTGTTAATCGTATTTGAAAACCATCGTTAAACAATTTTTTTTGTTTCGTTTTCTGATCGTTTTGAACTTTTATAAAACGAATAGCGATAGTTTTTATAAAACGATCAGCGATCGTTCTTATACGATTGTTTTTTTAAACGATCGTTTCGTTTCGTTTTCGTTTTTTGCCTTTGTTTTCATAACGAAATGACCGTTTTTCAAAATAATGAAAACGTTAACTTCCCCACAGTTGAAAGGTCAGATTAAAATAAATGTAAACGGTAAACGGTTAACAAAAAAACGGGAGAGTAGATCTGTCTACAGACCCCTTTTTCCGTTGTAATTAAAAAATGTTGTGTCCAAGAATTGTTTGAATTAAGTATAATATATTATGTCAAGTTAGATTCTCCTTCATTTTTAATACAACATTATTTGTTGTCTCGACTTAAAGTGCTAGTATACACCCCAACACATTGTATTTTTTTTTTATTTTTAGATATTTTTACACAAGGTATAAAAATGAGTATAAAAAGGCAAGTTACAATATGTTTTAAACCATTTCTAAAACTAAATCATAATTTCTAAATATAAAGAATTAGTTCTAAAAATACAAACATTAAACAAATCAAACAAAAAACCTGGTATTTTTTCTACATTTTAGCGGAATTATTTGTTGATTTTTATGAAGCAGTTTTTTTTTACTAATTTGTGGCTCATGTTGATGTATGAATTAAAAAGAAAGGGGGAATTATAAGTTTGAACCAAGGTTTAATAAAAGTTATATCAATACTTTCTTCACAGTGTACAATGATTCGAAAAAAATATCTTGAGCTAAGATTTGTGCTTAAAAACAATAAAAGATCATAGTTTTTTTAAAAAAAAAATTTTAAAAAAACCCAAACTTATTTCCAAAATGTTTTTTTTTCCTTTTTTAAACTTTCAAAATCAACAGAGATGTTGCGAGTTTTGTTCAGATTAAGATTTATATAAAAAAATTCTTATTTATTAAGAAGATATTTTAGACAATCTTTAAAAGACGTTACTTACTTGATACTGGATAAAAATATAAATAAAACCTGTTTTTTATCTTATCTTTTTACTTAGTAATAAAATTGAAATTTTTGTAAAAGTACAGATTATTTATTAAAAGAAATCATTAAAATCTAAGATCTAGTGAATGGTTTTCGTACATCAAGGGATTTATTACNTATGCTAAAATATTGTGTGCAAAGCGTAAAAAGATTCAATTTTGGCGCACAACTGTCAAAAAAGGTTCAACAACAGTAAATGTCAAATTTCATATTTTCCCCATGAGACATTTACAGAAATTTACAGAATTTTTTCCTAGATTAAAAAAAAATATTCCATACAAATCACAGGAAAGTGAATGTTTGAGCATAGGAATAGTGAAAAAATGTATTGTCAACTCTATTTTTTTTATTTTGTAATGTAATAAGAAGTATGCATGTTATTTGACCAGGAAAACTGTGGAAAGGGAAAACGAAATTTAAGCAATCTTATAGTATGTATAAATATTTTTTACCAAATCAAATGATTGGGAAAATGGTTCTGTAAACACTGCACAATTGTTGTGTTTAATGCTAAATACACAACTTGAAACCACAATTTAGAAGACATCTTTCTATTCCATAGTATTATGGGTCTCACTGTATAAATTTGTTATGTAAAAAATGTCGAAATGAATATAATGATGAAAGCAGTGTATTTATATAGTTGAGAAACCAACCGGTAGAAGTCAGCTTAACTTCAATACTGATCATAGAAATATATATACAAGGGAATATCAGATAGATAGATAGATAGATAAATAGATAGATAGATAGGTAGAGGAATTTATAAAGTGCAATCAAAAAAAAACGAGAGAGAGGATTTGAGTTTTTGCCACAAACTCTCTTTGACATCGGGTTGCAAAGATATAGGAATTATAAAATTAGAATTTGTGACAAAAATTCAATGTTTTTTGTCCGATTCAAAACCTTTATGTAGATAATGTGGAAGATATTGTTGTTGGAC